CTGTAAATGTTGGTTTTCAGTACGAAGCATCTCACCACTGTTTGAGGAAAACACCTTACTACTGTCACACCCCGCTAGAGTTAACAGTACGACTTCGCCCTCAGACCTTGAGTTGATGCTGTAATTGATACTGTTCTATAATCGACCTACCTGCCACGATAGGACCTAAATTAACACGTGTTCTTGCCAATATAGTTAGGTTAGGTTACTATAACAGTAAACCCTATCTTCACATCAAGGAAGCTGCTACGGTCGGGGTCACAGTGAAATCATCGTCCTAGATTGTTAGGGGTGTCCTTACTCCACTTAATGACAACGGTGTTTTCTTATGAATTTAACTATTTGATGCCTTAACGTCACAAAGTCTGTATGAAATTATGGGCTGTTTGTTTCCGAATCGCTGAACTGTTAAATTTCAAACCTCGTTTGTCAGGGACACATATTGACTGTATTATCTCCTGCTGAATGACCCTTGCAGCTGTGAAGCCTTATTATAATAACTAGCGAAGCGCTCTTATAGGTAAAATTAGGAATTATTTCGATTGATACCACATCCAAATCAATTGTATCACACGATACTTATCAATTTGGAATTTATTTCATTTTTCGTCGAAACAAGACCTCCGAGATGTAGTGATTAGTTTTTATTCTATTGCTAACAGCACGTGAGTTTGTACAATTCAACCTCTCGTAGCTGCACTTATTCTTCTCTCCACTTACTCAGTACTAACACTATGTAAAGTACTTACGAGAGTATTTTGGCTGACACTACAAATTCGTTTTGATGGACTACACTAGTCCAAAGGCTCTTCTCATGCAACCAGAAAAGGAAGACTGAAAGATAATTCGAGAAAACCGATGGAGAGGAATTTCAGTTTCTCCCCTTAACGGCGACTTTTAAGTGGAAGTTTGTAGGCGTATTTGTGGGACGCGTCCAGTTCGAATATTCCCCTGATATTCAGAGATTGCATTTACTATGCTCACAGCACTACTTCTTAAAGAAATTTACGTTTTATATACGGATGTAGACAGCCATTAGAAACTATCCCAGTTATAATGCTGTGAAGCCACTGGCTGTGGAACAGTATACCTGTATTGGTATCTAGTGTAAACAATAAAGTGTACATAAACCTAAGTTGTTTATGGACTTAAAAGCTGTCATGGAAGCCAAATAATGCAACCGGATATCACAGCAGGGTGTACCCGAAAATATTTAATCAATAAAATATTGATTAATCGCGAGTTACATTTCTTTATGTTTTTAGCGATAAGTTAATGTAGACAGCGACTGCTAAGGATTATACGTGCTTACGACAACATTATGTGTTCGTTTGAATAGTTTATTATATTAAGCACCTAAATGTAGTAAACCTATACCGTAGGGACTAACATTCACTTGCGCACCACAAATTGTCGTTGCTTAATTTAACCTATTAACACTACTAATGTCTGTTATAGATGGAGAAATTCATAACGGCTTCTAAAAATGATTAGCTGTAATTCTGGAAATAGAAAATAAATCACCCATTGTTGAACATCAAGTTGCTACGATTTAATTAGCTTCAGTTAATCAAGGGCAACAGATATAAATTTGTAGTAGTACCGTTCAAACATACCACTTTGCGGGATAACAAATGTTAATCCCGTTACTCTAGTAACTAGCTAAAAGACGATTCTAGAGGAAGAAGTATATATCGTGATATCGAAGTAATCACGAGATCAGGGCACACGAGCGGCCAGCAACGAGTGAGGAAAGAAGGCTGAAAAGGCGAAGACACACTTGGCACGTGAGAGAGTCTTTTGTACAGATGAACAAAATGTGTACAATATAACAATTATTGTCAGAAATGAGAACAATAATGAATTTTAATATTTCAGCAATTGTATTTTTTTCGTAAAAGTATACCATGAGTATATCGAACTTTTACAGAGACCAAACATGGTCAAATTATTTCATATAATTCTTTTGTATCGAAACAATCTGTTTAGATGTGAACGTTGCTACCTTGACCAGTTTAAATTCATTTCATCACAATACAGTCCTGGATTTATTTTCCAACAATAGAGTTACTGAATCTTCCGTAACTAGCGTTATTCGTATTGTAGAACAGATAGCTGTGGCTTCACGTGCCAATGTTAATACAAACTCCTTCGAATTTCTAGGAAGCCTAAGATCAGCGTTAGTTTGATACAACTAGCATCTCAGTCCAATAATACCCGCTGAGCCATATATTTCTTTATTCTTTTTGCTATTGTACATGCTAATTAAGTCAAGTACTTACATAGTCTTTCAGGAATATTGGTTTTCTAGTTCATATTTGACCCTTTTATTCCAGGATAAAGGTGGCAGATAAGATAAAATCTTGTCTGAAAATTAACGAACTGGTTATTAAGACTTCTGAGCTTGAAAGTATAAACATAAAATAAGAAAAGGACATTTCTTCATCAAACCTATTTAATGAAAGTGAACTGAAATTATGCCTATGTGTTAATAGTAAATGCCACTATTCGTAGAAGTCCCATTCATAGCCCATACGCACAAAAGTTTGTTGATCCAAATGCACAGCTTTGTCTACTGGAGGATTTACCACTCTTTTAACAAAATAATTTTACCACTGTCTAGCACAGCGATCCAGCCGTTGATGACTTTATTCAACGCGGACGTGGTTTATTTCCAGACATAGAGCTACCTATATTCATACCGAATGCACAGACTGCATGATAAGAAAAGTGAAGGTACGTCAATTCTTCACAAAGCTATATCAGAATCTACGTTTGAGATAGTAAATAATCACTTTACTTATTTTATCGCTGTTAACAAGAGTATGGAGTCATCACCTTAACGCTGTTCAAGCATAAAAAATAGAATAAATATTTTCTGTGAATAGTAAATCTTACTTGAATGTTTATTCATTAGCTTAACAGGTGGCTACAAAAGAACACATCCTACTCAGAGGAACACAAGTCAATTTACCCATCATCGTTTCCACACTTCACTATATGTCGAAGCAGCAGGACCTTACATCTATTGAGAAATGGGCTGTGAAAAACGGTTTAAAACTCAACCAACCGAAGTGCAACGTCACGCATATTCTACCCCACACGATGCAAACGATATATACCCTCAATGGGATTCCGCTCCCTAATGTCTCCCCAGAGCGCGATCTCGGTTTAATAACCACAGAAAGCCTCTACAGGAGCCCGAACTATATAGGGGACGCAGCCAAGGCAAATGTGGCTCTTCAATTTATGCAAAGAAAAATTGGTGCTATAACCCTGCAATTATTTTTGACAATAATTAAGACGTATGCGCGCCCACACCCGGAGGTTTACAATGTCATCGCACCCCCTCTGCCTAAAAGAGATATAAATCTGTCGGATCGAGTGCAGAGACGAGCAAACAAATGGGTGGTAGGGTTGAAAAATAAACCAAACGACGATAGACTTGTAGCTGTTCCCTCCCCCTTGCTTACACCAGGGTCGTCTCTCACAATCTTCACTAACAATTAACAAACTGTATTCATCTATATATTACTCAGTTCTGAAATTTTATTCATATTATCATTAGAATTTTATCCTTATTATCCTTATTATTCTGTACATTGCAAGTAAGTTATCTCCGGTCTGGTAATGCGATAGCTGCTGGTATCCAGAAACCCTACTGCCCTGAAACAAACGTTTTCCTTCAAATCCCGAGACCTACAAACTCACTTCCAACTGCTAACTTAGTAGAATTAGACGGTCGAGTGGCTAGACCTCCATCCACTGGACATTACCGATCACCTGGAACCGTACCGAAAGAACAAGAATCGAGCGCGAAGAAATCAACTGGTTTACATTATCTCGTGAAAAAGATATTGGATATTGGATCTCTTGCCTGGTAATGTGAATATAGTGGATAGATTAGAAGGAAAGATAAAGAGAGTTAAACGCACTCATAACTAAAATCTTCCATATACTGCACAAATTTTGACTACAAAGCAATAAATGTTCTGATGGTTTTCCGGGACAAGGTTTCCCAATTCACATCTTGGTGGCTTTTACGTATTCAAGGTCGAAGTCGGCAGTTTAGGCAAGTGCGTATTTCTCCATCGGATAAAGTGTTTTGTTGGACTACCATATCTTTCATCTTACGAAGTTCTCAAGAAATTGTTAGTACACTACTCTTTTGGCTTTGTTATGAAAAAATTAGCACTTTGTTGTATACTTTGAACGCATAATCACAGAAACATTCTTGCAAAACAGCCAACGGTAATGATCTCGAGAATTTCTGTCATATGTAATGCCTGAAGAGATTTTTATCACTCCTGTAGGTATATTGATATTGCATCTCTATATAATCTTTAAATATAAAGTGACATCTCGTATGCTATTTTGAGTTCTTCACTTCTGCAATTACTTCCAAACTATCTCATAGTAAATTAGCAAGTAGTATTCATCTTAAGCAAGCTTTGCAAATTACCTTCATTGTTGTGTCAGTTTACTTTTTAGAACTCAATTAGATAAACGCATAATCCTCCTTCAGGTTTGGCATGAATAATTTTGTTTCTCACGGTTTAGCGGAGTCCAAAATCAATCCAAATACTTAAAAAAGTTCGTCAACGATATTTCAAACTATCTTTTTGCTCATACTGTGTATACATTGAATCGTCATTGTTATGAATCTCGTAGTAAGCGACAAAATATCTTTTAGAATTTTCAATATCTACCGATTAACATAATTAACCCTGGAATTAATTAAACCTAAATATTGACTCGGCAAACCAGGAAAAATAGCTTTCTGTAATTATTAAGAAGTACATTAGGTGTTTTGATCATCTTTTTTGTCCTATAATATACTCCATAATTTTTCTCATCCTTGCTTTCTGCTTTGCAGGCAAAGATGTCGATTCCATTCTTCCTTTAAAAAACCTACCATTTGAAAACACCTTAGTTCTCGGATTTCTCCCCTCAAAAAGCAAAAGTTACGTCTACTATCTCTTTAAAAACATCAGTAAACTATGCCGAAAACGCTGAAAGGTCTTGTTAGTCGCCATAAGAAGCGTTTTCAGCAGGATGGGTTCGATTTAGATTTGAGTTATATTTCTGAAAGAATTATCGCAATGGGATTTCCTGCTGTTAAACTGGAGGGTGTTTATCGTAATCATATTGATGATGTTGTTCGCTTTCTACAAACACGACACGCTAATCATTACAAGATTTATCACCTGTAAGTTGATTTTTGTTAGAATGTATTTATGAAATAGCGAGTCAGTTTAACAATAAAAATACGAATGTTCATGCTATTTATTATGAGTGAAACATGTGGCATGAATCTGTTGGGTTCTAGGTACTAGAATAATTAAATTGTAATTCACTTGTTTTCGATGGATTTTAATGGTTGTTATCTTAGTTACTTTCTCAGCTAAACTTATACAGACCATTAATTCATAGCTCTGGTCGTGAGACATAGTGGGGAAACCTCTTACAGTTCTACCTTATGATAAAAAGGCCAAGAATATATTTCATGGGCTACTGGAAAAACAGTTTGGCAGCCATGTAAGTAATGCCTACCCTGGAAGTCTGATTATTGCTGATTGCGTGGTGTTTGACGAATTCTCGGAACATACACGGAAGGCTCTATTGACTTCTACGAGCATGTGTCACTGGTGGTGTAGGTGAGATATCCGTCTGTCAATCAAACGACGAGTTCACTGTGCTACAGTTGGCTTCGTATTACTTTATAGGTGTGAAACGGCCATCAACAATAGAGGATTTTCGTAGGGTACTAGTATTCGAACATCGGTATCTTCGAAGCATTGTTCGTTTATTCTGGGACCACCGATTAAGCAATACTGGTGTTAGGAGAAGGTTGCTAGGTTAGGAGAACAAAAGTACTGATAAAGTGATGAATCTTCAACTTATGCGACTTGAACATTCCTCGATGAGCTGTGCTGTCTAGAATAGGAGTAGAGTGGAAGAAAGCTAGGAACTTTCAAATCAAAACATGGCTCCGCTCGATGAAGTCATTGACAACTGGACTGAAGCATGTTAGTAGACGTAGACTACCTGTTTGGAGTCCGCGAAACAGTTGTACTGAATAGTTAGAGACGTTGTTCAAAATCGTTTGCAATGGCATAAAGGCATTTGTTCCTTGTCTTCCTCCATGTGCCAAGCCTCTTAATTCTTCAGGAATTTTATTTTTTCTTCTCCTTTTTGAAAGTTTCACTGGTTTGTAACTTCTCGACTCATATCTTGAATCCCTGTTCTTTTCGATGGCTGATAACACTTACAATCTCTACTACTATAGCTTCTAGACTGATAATTCCATCTCTTTGCTGACGCGGTCGTTAAGATCAACGCTAATCTACTTTCTTTTTCAGGTTCCTCTAGAAAAACTCTTCCACAGTGTGGGCAGCCGGGAAGTAACAACCGCCCTCATACCTATAAATGCACTCGAGACCGAATAGGTCACAATCGAATCCTTTCAACACCTCTTAATAACTCTCTTATCTTCTCGACCAACATTTCTTTCAATCGTTTATCACCTCATGCCACTGAAGCAAACGGTTCGAACTCACGAAACATTATTCCTGGTCTCTTGAAACCCCGTACAAAATAACATGAGGGAGCTTTAAGCCTATGCCAAACAGGGCGACAGCCTTCATTAGCTAGAACTCTGGAATCCCGGGCAATCGATGTATGCCGCGTCTCCGAAACGCGCATACAAGACCCGAGTAAAATCATAAATTTGATCTCACCTAGTGCAGATAGAGACACAACAAGGTTTACGCTTCATGTTTCTGCAAGCCCTGATGCCGCTTCTCGTGGCCTCTCTGGCTTAGGTATAGTATTCAGTCGTAGGGCAGAACTAGCTGTCTTAACGTGGATTCCGTGGACAGTCGCTTATGCCCTTTCCGACTAAACGGGACGGTACGGACTCAGAAAGATACGGACACTCGCCGTCGCCTCTTCATCGTATCTGCCTACGCGCCCACTGACTGCAGTTCATAAGACATGAAAGATAAGTTTTATAGAAACCCCTCTAAACTCGAAAATATTAAGCACTCTGATATAGTAATAACCGCTGGTGCTTTAACGCTCAAGCAGGTAGACTCAGCGAAAAGGAAAGACACCTAGGTGGATGTTATGGTGTCGTGGCTCAGAGAACAGACAATGGTGACCGTCTGTTGCAAGCATGCTCAGACAACCGCCTATTCTTAGCAAACACTAACTTTGGGCGTGAGGAAAAGCATCTGTTGACCTGGCGACCTCCAAAGTCGTCTCAACGTTGGACCCAACTAGATCACATCGCCATCAGCCACCGATGGAGGGGTTCGATAGAGGACTGTCGCTCGTTCTGGAGCACATGTCTAGATTCAGATCATGCCCTAGTGTGAGCGCGTATTTGTTTGAAGCTTACTGGGCGTAGGAAAGACACCGTAAGAAAGCCTCTTAGGGTTTTACTTAATGATAATAAGGCGAAAAATATATTTCAGGAACAACTAGAAAGACAGTTAGGCGACCATTTAAGCGATTCCCATCCGGAGGCACGTTGGAATGATATCAAAAAGGCTGTGGAAACAGCAGTTATATCTGCTAGTGAGGTTGACCATAAGGCTAGAATGCAACCGTGGATCTCAGTAGCATCCACCAATCTGATGGATGCCCGAAAACTCATCCCACCTGGCTGTGAACATGATGAAGAACGAAGTCAACTTAGGCGCAGACTTATAAAAATCCTACGTAACGACCGCGAACAGTGGTGGGTGGCGAAAGCAAAAGCGATGGAAAAGGCAGCGGCGATAGGCAACACTAGACAACTTTTCCGACTTATCAAGGAAACTGGTTTCAGGAATCCTAGTGTAAGTGAGACTATCTCAGAAAATGACGGGACTATTATTTATTCTCAATCCAGGAGACTGGATCGATGGGCAGAACACTTTAGGGATCAGTTCAACTGGCCTCGAGCCACTCTTCAGTTACCCACGATCTCCAGTCATCCTGAATGGCAAATCAACGTAAGTCCACCTAGTCTTAATGAAGTTGAGGAAGCGTTAGGAAATCTGAAGCGAGGTCGAGCTGCAGGTCCTGAAAGACTGACCCCTGAGATATTTAAGGATGGTGGTCCAGTTTTAGCAGCTAGGTTGACTGAGATCTTAGGTAGAATCTGGGAACTGGACGTAATCCCATCCGACTGGTCTCAATCACTGATTGTCCCAATCTATAAGAAAGGACAGAAGTCTTCTTGTGACAATCACAGAGGAATAAGTCTAACTAATATAGTATCTAAAATATTGGTCTCAGTAATACTTCGACGCTTAACGAAAGCTCGTGAAGAGCAGACTCGAGAAAACCAGGCTGGTTTTCGACCTGGACGTGGCTGTATAGACCACGTCTTCACACTACGACGGGTCCTGGAACATAGACACACATTTATGCGCCCTACAATAGTTGTTTTCCTGGACCTTAAGGCGGCATTTGACTCAGTGGATCGTGAGGTTCTGTGTCAGTGTCTGTCATTGAAAGGTGTACCAAATAAGTACATTAACCTCATACAAGCTCTACCTTATCCTCGACTGAATTTTCAGGAGTAGACCTTCTACCAGGTGGCTCGCTTATTGACTTAGAATATGCCGATGACATAGTCCTACTTGGTGAAGACGCTGACAAAATGCAGAGTCTTCTGACCACTCTAAGCAATAATGCAAGCATGTTCGGTATGCGGTTTTTCCCCTCGAAATGCAAAATGTTGCTTCAAGATTGGGTTTCATCGGCACCTGAACTAGTGATAGGGAGTGAAGTAGTCGAACGTGTAGACCGCTTCACTTATCTTGGGAGTCTCATCAGTGCCGATGGCCTGGTGACTGACGAAATCTCAGCTCGGATACAGAAGGCTCGATTGGCTTTTGCCAACCTGTGTCACTTATGGCGAAGGCGAGATATCCGTTTGCTGACTAAAGGACGAGTGAACTGTGCAGTGGTTCGCTCCGTCTTACTTTATGGCTGTGAAACATGGCCAGTGAGAGTAGAGGATATTCGTAGGTTACTAGTGTTCCATCATAGGTATCTTCATAGCAGTGCTCGAATATCCCGGGACAATCGAGTAAGCGATGCTGTTGATAGGAAGTGAATACTACGTAATGATGATAGATCAGTAGGTGAAGTGGTGAAACTTCATCAGTTGAGGTAATTGGAGCATGTGTTACGTATGCCTGACCACCGACTTACCGACGAACTATGTTTTTTGATGTAGGGTCAGGCTAGAAGAGAGTTAGAGGTGGCCAAATTAAAACATAGCACCAATCCTTGGAGTCGCTGAGAAGTGGACTGAGCCATATTGGTAGGTGAAGACTACCTGGTTGGGGTCCGCGAGACGATAGTAATCGATGGTTAGAGACTTTGAATGGCATGGCTCAAAATCGTTTTCACTGGCACAGATGCATCCATTCTTAGTTTTCTCTCAAGTTCTAATCTTCTGAATTCCTCATGATCATTTTTTATCTTTTAAATTGATTCCACTTGGATATACTTCTCGAATCATATCTTCGATCCCTAATCTTCTCCATTAGAGCTAATGCATCTGCTACCTCTACTAATATACGATTTGAATGGACCATTGGATCTTTGTTCTAATGTGACATGTCAACTGAGTGATGTACGTATGTACGACATTCTACATTGTAGCTGACTAATGTACATAGGATTCGATTTTCGTTTTATTTAATGAGGATGAGCGATCACAGAATTCAAAGTTATTTGTGTAAGCATTATCGTTAGGTGTTTCGGTCACTCGTCAATACATTTCTTTCTTTTATTTTGACATTAAAAACTATTGAACCCCTTACTGGTCCTTACTTTCTACAAATTAATGTTCGTAAATTAAAGTTAGCTACTTCATTTTCTAAATATCCACGTATAGCCATAGTGTAACGTTTTCTGAAATTAAAATAACCTCATCATTTACATTTAATCATTTTCTTACATAATTGCCCAGATGTGATGAACGAGATTTTAACGTCTGTCGATTTAACGGTCCCGTTGCAAAATATCCATTCTCTGACCATAACGCTCCACAGTTTGAACAAATCGTGGCTCTGTGTGAAGATGTAAATGAATTCCTTAGTCAAGATCCTAAGAATGTAGTTGCGATTAACTGTAAGGCTGGAAAGGTAAATCAGTTATTTCTATTTATTTATTTGATGAATATTAAGTTTTATTTGATAAATGATACCATCAAACAAATTGGTCATACTTATGATTCATGTTTTGTCTTTTTGAAAGTGTTCATGAAAAGTTTTTTCCGGGAGTTACAAGTTCAGACCTACTTTGCTAAGGAGAAATGAGAGGTATAACTTCTATTCTAATGCAACTGTAATTTTTGGGTAGTATTTGCCACAGATTGGTTGTGTTGGAGTTTCGTTCTCTGAGCTAGATGTTTGGTTATGGAGCTCTCATTATTCTTCTAAACAACATCAGAAGAACAATGGAAGCTACACAACCAAACATCCAGCTCAAAGAACGAAACTCCACCACAATCATCCAACAGAGTTACACATTTTCTCCACTATCCCACAGATTGGTCTTAATTTGGCTACCATCAAGAACCAGAGACCAATAACCAGCTGTTCCATCCTAATGTAGAGCTCTTCAGCAGTTCACACTAACCCACCACAAGGAATATAACCCATGACCTTCATGCCCTTCGGCAAACGCCTGGACCCGCTGTCCAGTGGGACAGTTTTAACTTCCATCGAAATATGTTATAGTTACTGTTGAGTTCCAGATACCTTAATTTAAACAGTTGGAGAGTATCGCTAGCACTCATACCAAAAAATATAGATCAATAGTATTCACGAATCTGTTCTTTATGAGTGAGTTAGATTAATTAAATTTCATTTAATAATTACAACCTTTTATCCATCAATTAGTAATCATAGTTATATTTTCTATCAGAATCTGTTGTAGTTTACTTTCGTTAGTTGAATGCATTAACTGAAAATTAGATGACTTTTTGTTACAGTTTTTGATTGACAGTTGAAATGTGATCGTCTGCTCCTCAATATGAGCTTTTCTTCATAACTATTTTGAAATCTTTAAAATATTTTGATCCATAACGTTTATCATATAAATATTTTCTTAGTATCTTAAAACACAACCTATTAAAGCTGGACTACAAAATATGTTTACATAATTACTTATCATATATTTCCTTCGGTTTTACAACAATAATAAAAAACGAATGTTCAGTATTTTCAGAATGAGACGAGTGTCCAGAACCTTGCAGACTGTGATAAATTCCTTATTTGTAGCACGTATTCAGATGTTATAAAAACATTCTTTATGTTCCAAATTTATTCTCAACTGCATACATTTAGTTCGTGACTCACTATTTGAGAATAAATGTGTTATTAGTCGGAGCATAAAAGTGTGTGAGAACAATGTTGAAAGCGAAATTTGTCGTGGTACACAAGGAAATAATCATACAGATATGAATGAAGCATGTGACATCATCTATAAAGTGGAGACTTTGGTTAAAAGGGAAGTTAATGGTTGTTTAAAAACTAATATATTATGAAAGCCAACATATTCTAGGAAATATTCAGATTATAAGTCAGCACATGCTCATTTTACTAAAGTGACAGTTGCCATGCGTTCGAGTTCGGAAATTTGTCACTAAACCAAGTAAGGGAGGAACCGAAATGGATTTAGTTATATTCACTCTGATCGTGAACAGTTATTTAAAGAACTTTATAAAAAGAATGATCCAGAACGCAAAATAATAATATGAAAAAACAACCCAGAACCCAATGGTTCATTCAAATCCTATATTAGTAGAGGTAGCAGATGCATTAGCTCTAATGGAGAAGATTAGGGATCGAAGATATGATTCGAGAAGTATATCCAAGTGGAATCAATTTAAAAGATAAAAAATGATCATGAGGAATTCAGAAGATTAGAACTTGAGAGAAAACTAAGAATGGATGCATCTGTGCCAGTGAAAACGATTTTGAGTCATGCCATTCAAAGTCTCTAACCATCGATTACTATCGTCTCGCGGACCCCAACCAGGTAGTCTTCACCTACCAATATGGCTCAGTCCACTTCTCAGCGACTCCAAGGATTGGTGCTATGTTTTAATTTGGCCACCTATAACTTTCTTCTAGCCTGACCCTACATCAAAAAACATAGTTCGTCGAGGCAGTCGGTGGTCAGGCATACGCAACACATGTCCCAACCACCTCAACTGATGAAGTTTCATTACTTCATCTATTGATCTGCTACTCTTACCTAGCACCTGATTCCTAATAACAGCGTTGCTCACTCGGGTGTCCCACGATATACGAGCAATGCTTCGAAGACACCTATGATCGAAAACCAGTAACCTACGAATATCTTCTACTCTTACTGTCCACGTTTCACACCCGTAAAGTAGGACGAAGCGAACTGCTGTGCAGTAGACTCGTTCTATGATTAGTAGACGGATATCTCGCTTACGCTATGAGTTACGCGAGTTTACAAAAGCCAATCGAGCCTTCTTAATCCGAGCTGAGATTTCGTCACACACCAGGCCATCAGCACAAATGATACTGCCAAGATTAGTGAGGCAGTTAAGTAAAGACTTGAACACCATTTGAATCTATCAATGCCTGCGACAATTTGTTGTAATTAGTGACTCGACCAGTAATTTTTGGAAAGAGAAAGTATACAAAGTTAATATAATTCCTCGGTACACCTCTCGATTATAGGCACTTCCACAGAATCCCACGATCAACAATGTTAAGCTCCGCCTTTAGTCTGAGAAGTGAGACGACTTGGGGACACTGAAATGTGTTTCTAAGTTCCAGAACTTGACGAAGAGTATATATTTGGTCTGTACATGCACGCACAGTTCTGAACCGACCCTGATTTTTTTGAGTCTGCTGTTCGCGAGCCCAGAATGAGCGTCGAAGTACTATTAAAGCTAATATTTTATACACTATATCAGTCAGACTGACTCCTCCATGGTTGTCAGTAGAAGACTTTTCGTCCTTTCTTATAGAGTGGGATGATCAACACCGGCCGCCTTCTCCTGCTCTTGTTGTTGCGTGTGCGATAAAAGAGCCAGATCATATGCGTAGTCCAGATCGTCCAGCTGGGTCATAGTTGTCCATTGTATACCGTGCTTCTCTCCAGATGTTGACATTTTCATAATCCATCCGGTCAACAGGAGAAGGAGGAACGGTGAGAGTAAGCAACTTTGCCTGACGACGGGCTTCACTTTAAGCGAGTTCGTCAGTTGTCCTCTGTGCATAGTTTTGTAGTTTAATCCATCATAAGAATTCAGTACTGTGTTGGCCATCTTTTCTGGCTTTCTGTAGTGTCGAAGGAGCCTCCATATAGTCATCCTTTACAAGCTGTCGAATGCTTTCTAGTAGTCAATGAAGTTGATGTAGAGTGGTGAGTTCCATTCAGTTGATTGTTCCACAATGACCCATAGTGTCTCATTTTGGTCGGTAAGTGATCGATCCCTACGGAATCCAGCCTGCCCATCTCGGAGTTGGAAGTCTACTGAATCTTTCATGTGGTCCTAAAACACTATTAAAGACTTTTCTCGGTATTGAGAGGAGAGGGAGCCCTCTGTCGTTTTCTCACTTGCTGAGATTTCTTCTCTTTTGTATCCAGTGCTTCTTTAGTTTGAGCTTCATTCTGGCAAACGATTTTGAATAACGTCTCTAACTATTCAGTACAACTGTTTCGCGGACTCCAAACAGGTAGTCTACGTCTACTAACATGCTTCAGTCCAGTTGTCAATGACTTCATCGAGCGGAGCCATGTTTTGATTTGAAAGTTCCTAGCTTTCTTCCACTCTACTCCTATTCTAGACAGCACAGCTCATCGAGGAATGTTCAAGTCGCATAAGTTGAAGATTCATCACTTTATCAGTACTTTTGTTCTCCTAACCTAGCAACCTTCTCCTAACACCAGTATTGCTTAATCGGCGGTCTCAGAATAAACGAACAATGCTTCGAAGATACCGATGTTCGAATACTAGTACCCTACGAAAATCCTCTATTGTTGATGGCCGTTTCACACCTATAAAGTAATACGAAGCCAACTGTAGCACAGTGAACTCGTCGTTTGATTAACAGACGGATATCTCACCTACACCACCAGTGACACATGCTCGTAGAAGTCAATAGAGCCTTCCGTGTGTGTTCCGAGAATTTGTCAAACACCACGCAATCAGCAATAATCAGACTTCCAGGGTAGGCATTACTTACATGGCTGCCAAACTGTTTTTCCAGTAGCCCATGAAATATATTCTTGGCCTTTTTATCATAAGGTAGAACTGTAAGAGGTTTCCCCACTGTGTCTCACTTAAGACCACTAAGTAAGAGACAAATGCGTACTTGTACTAGAGCATGATCCGAGTCCTAAAGTGTGCTCGAGAACGAGTGGCAGTCTTCTATCGAGCTTCTCCATCCGTGGTTGGTAGCGATGTGGTATAGTTGGGTCAAGCGTTGAGTCGATTTCGGTGGCCGGTATGTCAAAAGATGTCATTTTTTATGCTTAAAGTTGGTATTTGAAAGAAATGGGCGGTTGTCTGACCATAGTTGCAGCAGATGGTCGGTATCATCTGTTCTTTGTACCATGACACCATAAGATCCACCCGAGTCTCTCAGCTTCTCTTTGTCTACCTACTTGAACATTGAAGTCACCATCCGCTATTATTACATCTGAGTGCTGAGTGTTTTGAAAGAGGTTGGAGAGCTTTTTAAAAAATTCATATTTTGCCTCATCCGAGCCGCAATTGGTCGAAGCGTAGGCAGAGACAACGGAGAGGCAATGGCTAGCGTCCCAATCTTTCCTAGTTCTTACTGCCTCGTTTGGTCGGACTGTGTACAACGGACTATCTACTGGAAACCATTCAGTCTAGGAGAACTAGTTCTGCTCTTGAACTTAATGTTATGCCTACACTAGCGAGGCCACGGGAAGCCGCAATGGTGGTTGCATGTGCATGAAGGGTAAATTGAGACGGTTCTTTTTATCTTGGCAAGGTGAAATCAAATGAATGACTGTAAGCGGATTATGTATGAACGTTTCAGAAACGCAACATGCATCAGTGGCATGAGATTTCAGAGTCTTAGCTAGGGAAGCCTGTTGTCTTATTCGGCACAAGGACCGAACGTCCAGAGATCCAACATGTAGTTCAGAGCGGGATTTCATGAGACAAGGAATAATATTTCGTAAATTCGAAACATTTTTGTTCGCTGTACGAGGTGATAAAGGAATGAAAGAATGGTTATTTGTTGTGGTAAGAGGGTTATTAATAGGTAAAGGAACAATTTGATTGCGACCGAGTTGATCTAGTGTGCTGTTCTAGGTTGAGGGTGGATGTCACTTCTCGGGTGCCCACACCGTGGAAGTGTTTTTCGAGGAGTCTGAAAATGAAGTGAGATGAGCATTGGTCTTAGCAACCTCGGATCCTGACTGTAGTGCTTAGGAAATAACTGCTTGATTCCGATCGCACATGGCTTTTTGAAGGGATTTTTGGGAGTGTTAGCTCGGCTCTTCAAATAGCCTTACCGTCGAAGAAGGAAATCCGTGGGGTGAGTTTAACCTTTTCTAAACCCTTCCATCTTTGTGAGAAGGCAGTATCGCTGCAGATGATGGTTGTCCGAGTGAAACTCCTTTACAACACCCCTCTACTGTCAACATTACGACTTCGCTCTGAGAGCTTGAGTTGGTGCTTTTAGTCTCACCATTCTCCATTGTTTTTAAAATTAAGGACTTGGGGTTAATCTCAAAGATTTGTGTTAAGCATATATCGTAATTTGAAAAAGTTAGAGCTCAATTTCTTGTCAGAAGAATGTCATGAAAAGTACCATTGAGAACTGAGATCACAGTCCCATTGAATTGTCAGTTTTAATATTCTTTTGAAAAACTGCTTATCTAAAGATGATGTTGAATGTGAATAATTCAACCAACAATTTTATGTTATTATCTTTGAGATTTTAATTACTTTTCATACCGAATTTATATTACCATATTTTGATAGGGTAGGACAGGTGTGATGGTCTGTGCATGTCTTCTTCGACTACATGATGTTATGAATGCCGAGGATTCACTAAAATTTTATGGTGAACAAAGAACTGACAATGGTAAAGGTGTAACAATACCAAGTCAACGACGTTATGTACACTATTATGATATATTCTTAAGAAATAATCTAGTGTATCATAGAATCCCCCTTTTTTTAACATCAGTACGTATTTGTGGACTATATTACTTACCAGGTAATATTTTTTTTCCTCCATGGATTAATCATATTAGTCACTTCAACTTTCTGCCATAACTTAAACTTAACTTTTCTAACTATCTACTATACCATAGCAATCTACTTATCTCTCTTAAGCTAACTGAAGGAATATTTAATCAATGCAATTTCCATTGTATAGGAATTTTATTGTGTCAGCTAGCTATAATTTTAATGATCTTTAATTGACTACTGATCGAATACAGACATACATAGTATTATTCATATGGTAAATTGTGTAACATTTTATCCTGGTCTGTCTTTATATCAGTGGAATCTGAATTAAGCACGCGTAGGCTATTTGGTTGGATAAATGTAGATTATGATTACCTAATATTTATAACACCGATATTGAATTTCGTTTGTCACACATTGTCTAGCTGTTGGTTAATTTATTCCAGTAAAGTTTATTTCATTTGAATAAATAAGTACTTTTAAATGTAATAGTTGCACTCACATGTAATCTATTTTAGTGATACAGTTTAACATCATAAATATGTGTAAATATGTATAGACTTGTAGTGAATATACTCAAGTTCTAGTTTTATCGTGCTATAGACGATTTGGTCTTCCTATATGGAACTGTGATGTGTTGGTTTGGTTACTTGACTGTCAACCATTATATTACAGTTTCAAATCATCCCTTAGTCGGATGCTATGCTTAGGCATTCAACTCAGTCAGTGTAGGATGTAAATTCTAATACTGATTTGAACCGAAATATATGACAAAATTTTAATCATTCAATATATGCTCATAAATAACAGTATTGATTTTAAACAATACAACAACAATAGATTTCTAAGTTTATTATATTTTCTGTTTTAATTTATCATCATAAGACGTAAATTTTTTTAACATGTTTATTTCATTTTCAGCGTTGTATTTTATGCAGTTATGGGAATATAAGTGAAGCTCTGTCGTGTTGATTTAAGCGTTTGACGTCTTATGAATGCCTTATTTATTTAAATCTTTTCACCCGTCCACTAATGTTTAAAGCTTATGCCTACTATACCTGAACATAAAGGTTGTTTTGTCGTACAATTGATGTAGTGATTGTTAATGGGGTTACATGACAAAAGTAATTGGAATAAGAATATTTATAACATTTGGTTTGTTTGTTTACTTACTCAATTGTCTAAAATGACTTGTAAAAAACCTTTTAATTATAGATTATTAGTGAGCAAGATTTGTATCTGTATTTCGTCACCACTCACTAATAGCTAGACTTATCTCCAAACCGAAACAAGACGATCGTTTATTTATAGATTGAAACTTACTTTACTTATCCTTATCGTTCATCGGTGACATTACTCTGAAAACACCACAGCTTGGAATTGCTGCTGCTTCTTTTACTAGTTTTCTCGATATCGCCAATGGGCTTTACTACTGAGTTTCAACGACTAACAGGAGTCTCTAGCTAAGTATTGTTATCAATCAGTTGTTACATTGGTCTTTTTAAATCCTGTAGTTATTTAGTGAAGTCATAAAATTTCTAAATAGAACTCCACCATACACTGACGGTGAGGTAAAATTGTTCTGTTTTATCAGCAGTGTTGTATATAATTTCATGCTTTCTGCTTTCAGTAAATTTCTTTAATGTACAATTCATTCAAAGACCTAATAGTTTAATCAATTTTCACACTGGGGAAACCTTTTTGAAATTTTTATCCTTCTCAGTTGTAAGTGTAACTGTTATCTAGTGCCAAATTAATGATAGTTCCAGAGAACGAATTCTGAGTTATAGTAGGAAGTTTAAAATTAAAAGATTTTTAAAAATCTTTGTACAGTTTGCCATAATACGCTGAATAATGACGCTCATAACTGACAAAAAAACAGCACTATAGATAAGAAATGAGGGTTTAAAAGGTAACGCAAAATAATTATATGCTAATAATGATGACGATTTTGTGTAACTTTTGAATTAACTGGTTTTTGTTTGAATGTCTTTTATGCAGTTGACATGCGATTCTACCCCTTGAAATTCAGAATTTTGCTTCATGATTGGATTGCATCCGCATCTGAACAAGTAATAAGGAGTAAAGTGTTGACCCTGTTGACCAGTTCTCTTATCTAAGGAGTCTCATCCGTGCTGATTGCCTGGTGTGTGGTGAAATCTCAGCACGGATACAGAAGGCTCGATTAGCTTTTGGCAGAAATCCATGAAGTCACTGACAAGTGGACTGAGTCATGTTGGTAGGTGTTGTCCGCAAGATGTTAGTAATGGATGGATAATGACATGGCTCAAAACCGTTTGCAATGGAGCAGGTGCATTCATTCTTTGTGTTCTCTCAAATCCTGAACGTTTTTAATTCATCACTTTATTTTTATTTTTTAAGTCTATTTCACTAGATTCCACTTCTCACTGAATCATACTTCTTGAATAATATCTTCTAATCCTAACCTCCCTGACTACTGCTAATACCTCTACTACTATTGGATTTGAATTGAAAATTACATCTCTGTGCTAATGTGGTATGGCAACATGAACCGATGTACGTACGTAAGACGTTATACGTTGCTATTGATTGATTAGCTTTTGCCAACTGACGTAACTCATAGCGTAGTCGAGATATCCGTCTACTAATCATAGGACGAGTCTACTACACAGCAGTTCGCTTCGTCCTACTTTACGGGTGTGAAACGTGGACAGTAAGAGTAGAGGATATTCGTAGGTTACTAGTGTTCCATAATAGGTATCTTCATAGCAGTGCTCGAATATCCTGGGACAATCGAGTAAGCGATGCTGTTGATAGGAAGTGAATACTAGGTAATGATGATAGATCAGTAGGTGAAGTGGTGAAACTTCATCAGTTGAGGTGGTTGGGACATGTGTTGCGTATGCCTGACCACCGACTTCGCCGACGAACTATGTTTTTTGATGTATCATGGGACAGCCAAGTAAGCAATGCTGCCATTAGGAAACGACTACCAGGTAAGGATTGGTGATCAATAGATAATAATATCGAAACTTCATCAGTTGAGGTGTTTGGGACATGTGTTACGAATGCCTAACCACCGACTACCTCGACAAGCGATATTGTCTGGTGTAGGAGTAGGTTCGAAGGAAGTTAGGGATGACCAGACAAAAACATCACACAAATCCATGAAGTCACTAACGTGTGGACTGAGTGGTGTTGGTAGATGTAGGCTACCTGGTTGGGTCTGCGAGACGAAAGTCACCAATGGTTAGAGACCTTGAACGACATGGCTTAGAATCGTTTGCAATCGTGAAGGTGTATACATTCTTTGTGTTCTCTCAAGTCCTAACCTTCTGACTTTCTCATCATCTCTATCTATCATTCGCTTTCTAAATGTATCTCACTGAATTATACTTCTAGAATAATATCTTCAAATCCTAATCTTCTCCATTAGCATTAATTCTTCTACTTTCTCCACCACAATGGGATTTGCGTCTCTGTGCTAATGTGGTAAGACAACGGGAACTGATGTACTTACGTACGAAGTTCTACGTTTTAACTGACTGGCTGACTGATATATATATATATATATTTAATTTGTTACTCAGAGGCCTTTGCTGCATTAGGGGTGTTAGTAGGACATAGATTAAATCAAAGCATAATTGCTTTGTTGCACTCTGATTGGCTCTTTCGTATCCAATCAGCGCTAGCCGATACTGAGGGAACATTCTAGAATCTTCTCATGTAAAAAACTATATTCTCACGTCTTTTTCCTTTTGAACTTCTGTCTTCCATCTAACCTTTTAATAGGAATATAATCTATTTATTGTTCAACCGTGTTTTTATTTTGGGAGAACGTCTCGAGTGAATTGGTCTCCGAAAATACTATGCATTAGGAATAGCTTGGTTGTAATAAACAGAGAATTATAACAAGGGGTAACATGCTTAAGTAAATAATTTGTTATTCGAAGAAGTATGAAGTTAACTAATAGAATTGCCATGACTTAGTTAATTGTTATGCTTTTACCCAGTGTTATATAGAGTAAGGTAGGTCTGTAAATTCATTGACAAAGCTTTCATACCTATGCTCTTCTTTTTTTTACAATATATGCATTATATCTAATTGAAATGAGTTATCTTCCGATCTGTATAAATTATGGATATAATACATGCATCATGAATGCTCTTATTTGTTGAAAAAGCTTTTTAATTGTTATTCATTAATGTAGTTATGCTTTCCAGTTTATGCAGACCCAGAGTCATCCATGAAGCTTTATGAAATCAATCGTCTATAAACTAAATATGTTCATAAACAAAATTTCTTGTCACGATGAGGTTGTGGAGATTGTTTAGTTTCACTGAAATCATGAATCGATCAGTATTAGACCATCATTATAAACTTGGAAGCACTGAACGACTATTTCGTCTTGCTACGGGACTCACCAGCAGTGCACAGCCACAACTGTTACTATGTACTCACTAGTGACCAGCTTTGTGAGAGAATTCTCGAAGTTCTAGTGAGAGGCCGTGGCTATTGGAGTTCAACCGTGTCGGGTGTGAGGGAGTTACCCACTGAAGACAGTGGATGGTGGTCGCTCAATATCATGGATCGATTAAATTGAGACATTGATACCATTAGATTGCTGGTCCAGAAATCTAGAGGTTAAGCGTTCCCATGCCAGATCGAGAGTCGTGTTCGATTCCTGATTGCGGGGTCGTGCATGCGCGCTGTCATCCAGTGCTTCCATGTTTCTAACGGTGATCTAACACTTATGAACTCATAAGTTAAATAAAACTATTGAATGTACTACACCTTTTTTGACAGTTATTTTTAACGAAATTCTTATTATACGCTAACACACATGTTGAGCATAATCAATCTGTTTGTTACTGGTGGATCACTTACTTAGTGCGACAATGTTGTCACTATGTGCTTTAACTTGGAAAAAGGTCTGATGTAAAGAATTACTTGTTGCTAATAGACTCTTAACTTCGTGTATCTGAAACAGACTGATATCATAGTTATCTTTGGTTAAACAAAGTAGTCATTATTACTGAGTACCATACCATATGTTAACAAGTACACTGCTTTTTCTTTATTAAATTATCTTTCATCAAAATAATTCGTACTTATTCTGTCGACTGTCATAGATAGCAGTTTAAGCGATATAAGTAAACGCACACTTTCGTTTTGATTGGTCGTATTGAATGCCTCCAGGTTAATACTTTTTCATCAATCAAACTGTTTTCTCCTTAATTTTTGTCTATTTTGTTTTTTTCGAAAAATTTCATTCTACTTCTCAGGTCTGTTATTAGATCTACAGTTTTATATGTTTGATTCATCGCATGTATTTGAACAAAATTGTGCAACATTATCTTCAGAACCCATACATCAAAATGAAGTTCTCATAAAACCAAAGCAAGATATTCTATTATCTGGAGATGTTCGAGTTAAATTTTATGCTAGACATCATATGTTAAATAAGGTAAGTTGCCTTTCGGTTGTTAACCTAAATGGCCTTATGAAAAACAGTTAATTAACCGAACTTTTCTCTTCTTTTCATGGATTTTTCATAGTTTGGCATTTATATGATAACCCGATTTGTATAAAATGTTCGTAGTATATACTTGCCTCAGTAAATAAGCAAGATTTATTCAGCCCGAGGTAATCGGTTTTATACAATTACAGAAAAATAGTCATTTCGCACGTAGATAAACATGCTTATATATATATGCTCATCCATTTCATTCAAGGTCATCAGTCCCTATGTCGGTAAGCATATTTTATTTCGTTTTATCAAGAAATTATTTCGAAAATTCGTCAAATTTGTTAATGAATTTTAATTAAGTGGTGACTGACAAGATTGCAAATATTGTCAAGAACGCTCATTTATCATATACATGCTGACGTCTTTTTTCATACTGTTGATCTTATATACTGATTTCTGCCATAAATTGAATGTGCAATTATAGTATATAACTAATGAAGGTTAACAAAGTCAGAAGACTTAGAAATATTTCTAATATTCCCAAGAAAAAGCTTTTTAGATTATGCACACAGATACCAAGAGGGAAGTTGTAACAAATAGCTCGATAATTATGTAAAAAGTATACTTAGCGATCGTTTACACCGAATCATATTGTCATCCGGGATCGTGGATATGATTGTTCTTTGTAAGTTTATCAGCGAGTTTAGAAATGGCTATTACATGACTCAGGGACTGACGCGTTAATTAACAATATCAATTCGCAAATTTCCCACTTATTCTCAATTTACAGCACTATAATAATTGGGGAGAGTCATCGTTCAAAATATTTGTTTATTGCTTGGAATTACAATCAGTGTAGTCCAAAGTATTGGATATTTGTGAAAGACTGTAAAACATCCTTGAAAACCGTCAAAATAAATCAAATTCCTCAGCTAAAATCCAGTATTTGCATAGAATTTAAAATTTTCGTTTTTGGTGATTTTTAAATTTTTTTTAACTCTTACTGGTAATATCTGTGAGTCAATAAGTCAACATTGAATTACATGAAACAAGATTAATCGTAATAGTCTGGATGAATTTACATATTACTTTTCATATTGAGTATCGTGTTATGTAATAGTTGATTGGAAGATTCTTGCTTTAAGTAGTTAAAAATTCATTTTAAACAACAGAGTAAATCAGAGTAAATGAAAAAATGTCATATTTTGATGAAAAAATCTTAAAGTTTGCATTCAGTTTACCTTCTACGTTAAAATAAACTTAAACTGTTTCAGTTGGTGAAAACCACATGAGACAGTGTATGAGTATTTAGATTTTCAATATTTGTGAGAGTGAGCTGCGAAACATTGAAAATTTTGTGTTAGTTTTAAGTCTGCTACTAGAAAAGCTAGTACACAATACAACCTTTGGCGTTAGGACTAGCAGGCCTACCCCTCTCGGTCGCAGAGTAGAGGCCGGAAGAAAAACAGAAGTCCCTGCTTCAGTAAGTGTCATATTGTACGGAGTATTTATAGTATTCGTATAGAGTGAAAACATTAAAATCATTCGATATGCGACTATCGACATTACATAATCATCCAATCACCTTGTCCCACATCGATATCCCAGAAATTCTATCGATCTGTGGTTGGGTGGCAGCGCTCCGGCTCCTTAAGAGCCTCTGACGACACTGTGAGCCATCCCAACACCTTCCCTTTTCTAGATTTTTAGTATATGGTTTCCTCCTGGGGTTCGTTTGCGATTTTAGTACTGTATTTCGTTCGTGGCACATTTCCCATGATGGCTAGGTTGTCTTAACCCGTTCCTTCCTGAGTCTTCTGTTTCTGTAATCATCAGCCCCCTTTTGAATGTTGTCATCCAATGTGTCCAATGGGAGATTTGACCGTCTGTCTTCTGTGTGTATCGCTCTTCTGTCTTGATGAATTTGATTTATGTGTCCACTGCATGTCCTAAACAATCATTACACTACTATCTGTCCAATTGTTCCTCGTTCCCATCGATTTCAGCCATAGTAAGCTTTGAAAAACACTTTATTCTTTACATTAAAACTACGGAAATGTACACCTTATTTTCGACTTCTCATCTGAAACAGCAGGGTTGAGAGTCAGTCAGTCAGTTAAAACGTAAGAATTTGTACGTACGTGCATCAGTTCAGGTTGTGATACCCCGTCAGCACAGAAACTCACCTGTCATTGAACCCCATAGTGGTAGACATGGTAGAAGTATTAACAGTAACGGAGAAGGTTAGGGTTCGAAGATAATATTCTAGAAGTATAATTCAGTGAGATACATTTAGAAAGCGAAAGATAGATAGAGATGATGAGAAAGTCAGAAGGTTAGGACTTGAGAGAACACAAAGAATGTATACACCCGCACGATTGCAAACGATTCTAAGCCATGTCGTTCAAGGTCTCTAACCATTGGTGACTTTCGTCTCGCAGACCCAACCAGGTAGCCTACATCTACCAACACCACTCAGTCCACACGTTAGTGACTTCATGGATTTGTGTGATGTTTTTGTCTGGTCATCCCTAACTTCCTTCGAACCTACTCCTACACCAGACAATATCGCTTGTCGAGGTAGTCGGTGGTTAGGCATTCGTAACACATGTCCCAAACACCTCAACTGATGAAGTTTCGATATTACTATCTATTGATCACCAATCCTTACCTGGTACTCGTTTCCTAATAGCAGCATTGCTTACTCGGTTGTGCCTGGATATACGAGCAATGCTTTGAAGATACATATAATCGAATACCAGTAACCTGCGCATATCTTCTACTATTAACGGCCAGGTCTCGCATCCGTACAGTAGGACGGAGCGAACTGCTGCACAGTACACTCGTCCTTTAGTCAGCAAACGGATATCTCGCCTGCGTCATAAGTGACTCAGGTTGGCAAAAGCCAGTCGAGCCATCTGCATACGTGCTGAGATTTCGTCAGTCACCAGGCCACTAGCACTAATGAGATTGCTCAGATAAGTGAAGCGGTCTACACGTTCGACTACCTCACTCCCTATTAGTAGTTCGGTTACCAATGAAACCCAATCTTGAAGCAACATTTTGAATTTTTAGGGTGAGAACCGCATCCTGAACATGCTTGCATTATTGCTTAGGGTGGTCAGAAGACTCTGCATTTTGTCAGCGTCTTCACCAAGTAGGACAATGTCATCGGCATATTCTAAGTCAATAAGCTAGCCACCTGGTAGAAGGTCTACTCCTGAAAATTCAGTCGAGGATAAGGTAGAGCTTGTATGAGTTTAATGTACTTCTTTGGTACACCTTTCAATGACAGACACTGACACAGAACCTCACGATCCACTGAGTCAAATGCCGCCGCTTCTAGTCTGGGACAATCAGGGATTGAGACCAGTCGGATGGGATTACGTCCATTTCTCAGATTCTACATAAGATCTCAGTCAACCTAGCTGCTAACACTGGACCACCATTCTAAAATATCTAAGGGGTCAATCTATCAGGACCCGCAGCTCGTCCTCGTTTCAGATTTCCTAACGCTTTCTCAACGTCATTAAGACTAGGCGGACTTAGGTCGATTTGCCATTCAGTATGACTGGAGATTGTGGGTAACCGAAGAGTGGCTCGTGGCCAGTTGGACTGATCCTTAAAGTGTTCTGTCCATCGATCCAGTCTCCTGGATTGAGAATGGATTATAATCCCATCCTTTTCTTTAATAAGGCGGAAAAGTTGTCTAGTGTTGCCTATCGCCGCTGCCTTTTCCATCGCTTTTGCTTTCGCCACCCACCACTGTTCGCGGTCGTTACGTAGGATTTTTATAAGTCTGCGCCTAAGTTGACTTCGTTCTTCATCATGTTCAGAGCCAGGTGGGATGAGTTTTCGGGCATCCATCAGATCGGTGGATGCTACTGAGATCCACGGTTGCATTCTAGCTTTATGGTCAACCTTACTAGCAGATATAACTGTTGTTTCCACAGCCTTTTTGATATCATTCCATCCTGCTTCCGGATGGGAATCGCTTAAATGGTCGCCTAACTGTCTTTCTAGTTGTTCCTGAAATATATTTTTCGCCTTATTATCATTGAGTAAAACCCTAAGAGGCTTTCTTACGGTGTCTTTCCTTCGCTCAGTAAGCTTCAAACAAATACGCGCTCGCACTAGGGCATGATCTGAATCTAAACATGAGCCCCAGAACGAGCGACAGTCTTCTATCGAACCCCTCCATCGGTGGCTGATGGCAATTTGATCTAGTTGGGTCCAACATTGAGACGACTTTGGAGGTCGCCAGGTCAACAGATGCTTTTCCTTATGCCTAAAGTTAGTGTTTGTTAAGAATAGACGGTTGTCTGAGCATACTTGCAACAGACGGTCACCACTGTCTGTTCTCTGAGCCGCGACACCATAACATCCACCAAGGTGTCTTTCCTTTTCACTTAGTCTACCTACCTGAGCATTAAAGTCACCAGCGGTTATTACTATATCAGAGCGCCTAGCTTTTTGGATGAGGTCCGAAAGCTTTCTGTAAAACTCATCTTTCACCTCGTCTGAACTGCAGTCAGTGGGGGGCATAGGCAGATACGACGAAGAAGCAACGGCGGGTGTCCCTATCTTTACGAGTCCTTACTGTCCCGTTCAGTCGGACGGCGCACAAACGACTAGCTACAGGGATCCAGTCTAGGTGCAGTAGTTTTGCCCTACGACTCAATGCTATGCCTACGCCAGCAAGACCCCTGGAAGCAGCATCAGGGCCACCGGATACACGAAGAGTAAATCGGGATGCTTCTTTGTTTTGACAAGGTGAAATCAGATTAATGTCTTTATTAGGATCCTGTACGCGCGTTTCCGAGACGGAGCATACATCGATGACACGAGATTCTAAAGTTCTGGCTAACGAAGCCTGTTGCCATATTTGACATAATGTACGTACATTAAATGCTCCAACATGTAGTCTAGAACGGGGTTTCAAGAGACCAGAAATGACGTTTCGTAAACTCGCTTCGTCTGCATTAGCGGTGCAGTGA